GACCGACGTCGTAAAAAAATATAAAAACATTTTTTTGACGAAGCCTCCTATTTGATAGGAGCCGACGTCATCAAAAATCACATTTTAATTAAGACGTCCTCCGACACACCGGTTGTGTCAAGGCATAAAGTGGATCCGATGTTTGAATCGACGTGTCGCCCGACGAAGGGGACCGACGATTGTTTCAATACGATGCCACGCTCAAAACTAAAAAATTCAATTTGTTTTAAAAATGGGAGTTTCAAAAATCAAAAAAATAATTTGACGTAAATAAAATATTTTAGGAGATAAATTTAGAGTTAAACCAAACGTGGTACCTTTTTTTCGAAAAGGGCGCTTTTGGGTGATCGATATCTTCCCAAAAGCGTAACCAACTCCTTACCATAGAATCTCCGAATCGTTGTCCGTTTTAGGTTCCTAGTTCCTTCAATACTAGGTGGCGACTCCAAACTCGTAAATAAACTTATAAATATTCAATCTAATTTTAGATATTTTCGAGAAGTCTCGTCCGACGTCGGGTAACAACAATATCTATTTCCAATTAAGAATTTCAGCCCATAGATCTAGCCTATCTTTAAAAATTTTTAACAAGTCTTTCCATTGTGACAACCCCAATATCAAGCATAAAATTCTCCTAAAAATTTGAAGTATGTTGCAATAACTCTCCCTTTTGAAATTTGTGTCACACAAGTAGCCATTATAAAAAATGCTTTCTAGACGTAAGTTCTTATGCCTCAATCACCGTCATTGATACTAAAGCTTATAAGCAATAGCGAGCATCCGTTTTCGTATTAGTTGTAGTATCGGTGACGATGTTATGGTTGAAGTGATATTCAATTGCAAAAAATGCGAGGCTTGCCATGTTTTGCACATCTAAAATTGATGTAATGCATGCTTTTTTGACCGTGATGTTTCAACCAAAATATATTGCTCCTCTTCGTCAACCTTAACAAGGTTTTTTTGTGTTTGACCATCAACATTGTGTGAAAGTATATAGGATAATTTTTCAATAGTCCTATGCTCATCCACATGATCTTCTTTGATGGAATTTTTAACCTCGTTGGTACCAATAAGGTCTTTACTTTTGGTATCTTCAATGGAAGCATCGATGTTTTTGATCATTATCATATTTTTAAATAGTTAAATAAATGTATGAAAAAAACCCAAGCTGCCATCACTAATGTGGTGGTCGGTAGACTCTCCTATAGGGAGAAAAACATCGATCAACCAACATCCATCTCTCACTATTGTTCATCTTCCTTCTTCCGTAAAAATTTTACCATAAAAAAATGATATACCAAAACCCACATATGCAACTGCCTCACAAAAAGAAAGCCTAACTCCATGCCGCTTCTCGCAGTTTAACATATCTTCCGAACCCCAGACTACATATGAAGGAGAACCAACTGTGGAGTTCTCAATAACAAATTTACAACAATCATCTAAACTATTTGAGTACTCCTTGGTTGTAAAATTCACTAGAGGTCATCCCTCTATCAATACAATCAAATCTCATATTCTACATAATTGGGGTTTAGTCGAAGATCCGATTATAGAGGTGATAGATCCAAGACATGTCTTAATTCGGTTATTCTCTAAAGAAGATTTAATCAAAGCATGGTCACAAGACTCACATTTGATTGAAAACTCGTTGTTTCGGCTATTCAAATGGGAAGAAACTTTCAACACTAGATATGAATCTTCAAAAGCGAGTAGTGTGGGCGAGGTTACCATGAATCCCTCTTCCTTTCTTTCCTAAGACCTCTATTAAGGACATAGTTTGGCCTTTTGGGAATTTCCTGTGAACGGATAATAGAACAACCAATGGATCTCATCCCATAAATGTTCGGGTGTTTGTAGAGGTGGATTTGAGAGACAAATTCTCGTCAAGGATTTGGATTTTCGTAAGCCCCGATAAAGCTAAAGGTTTTTGGCAATAGGTATAAAGCGAATCCAACACTCGTCTTTTGCGATCACCGCCATCTACAAGGGCACATGAGATCAAACTATAGGAAAATATCTATTGTCTTCTATAACACAATGTCATCGACCAAGAATATGACAGAAGCAGTTCCAAATGATTAATCATCACAGGGAACAAAAGTGACAACCGGTACAAAAAGGGTAAAAATCGAGTCAATCCTAAGAAAATAACATTACAAGATTCTATGCAACATCAAATCTCAATTGCTCTACCATATTCGAATAATAACAATTCCATAATTTTTCTAGTTTAGAAAAACCCGTAATCTTCAAAGTTTTATACCATAGGCATCGGTAGTGTTATAAAAAAGAATCCAAGTATGGCATTCATAGCAAACAGTACAATTGGCAACTGGAAGTAAATCCCGATACAACCCAGGAAATGATGGGTCGAATTCATTTCTACAAACCAAGAGATACTTATTAGATGCAAGAATTACCTCCACTATAATCGTGCTACATGAGCATAATACACCAACTAGGAAAGGCCTATTGGAGCATGTAGTCATAGTTGTTGACAAGGTTGTGCATGGGATCTCCGATAAAAGAAACAATGATGAGACATATGGCATGCAAATAATGGATTTTGATATTATAATTGATATAGACAATAATAAAGAATGATGAAATACAATAAAAAAAGGCTATCATTATCCAGGATACATATACCACCAAGTTCGGATCTCACAATCGAGCAACAATAGCTAGGCTACAAGATCACACCACGCTAAATAGCATGCATCTACAGGTGTATGCAACATCAAACACCTTTGAAGCCTTACAAGGAATATCAATTTAGAGCCCGGATGATAGTATATTTATTCAACATGCGGACTTGAAACTTTCACCTCATGTACATTCTAAAGGAACTTTTGAGGAAGGTTAGGCAATTTTAGGATTTCAAGACAATTTAGTTATTATAGAGAAACAAGGTATACCGATGACGAAGAAACAAAAGAAAAAACTACCGAAGCGTACGGTGTAGCAAAGTGGAAGAATAGTCACTAGATCCGATGAAGGTCATAATGGAGAACCCTTCTTCTTCTTACCATATATATAGCCTAATTTGGAATATAAAGGGTACATATGCTCTAGAAAAAAGGAGATACTTAAAATGCTTAGTACAAGCTAATAAAGTATCCTTTTTTATTGTCCTAGAGTCGAAGCAACCGGAGATAAGTTGCTTAAGTTTGCTTGATCCATGAAGTTTCTAAGATTTGCCTATGGTAATCCAATGAACAACCATATTTGGATTCTATGGAAGGATTTTTTTTAGTATTAGTTAAGATTATATGCTCTCAATCAATTATGATAGGGGTGAGGAAGCGACATCCAACTCGGCTTTTCTCCTCTTTCCAATGTATGTAACTCTGTGATAGAAGGGAAAGAAGATGGTTATGGTATAATCTTCACTCTCTTTCCATGTCCTTACCCTAGATAGTTGGTTGGGGTTTTTATTTATTTATACACATATTTTTATTTGTGTTAAAAAATATCGTATTACGATTACAATGTTAAAATTGTTATATATATATATATATATATATAGCCTTAATATGTTTAACAATAGTACTTATCAAACGACCTTATTATATTTAGCATTTAATTTTTAGTAAATATCAAATAGCTTTTCGGTAACATATTCAATATTTAATAAATTCAACACTTAATTTTCAGCTTTATCAAATACCACTAAAGTTTGCTTCTCTTTTATACAAATATAGTAGCTTCTCTTGTAAATCTCTCTACGTAACACATTTTTTTCTTGATGAAATGAGATGAAGTATCCTTTTTCTTCTCTCGTCAAACAAGAACCAAGTCCCACCTCTTGTAAGTATAAGAATTATCTTTTCTCATTTCACGGAGCCACTAGCTAGGTTCATGGATTCCTCGTTTTTGTAGCGCGAGTTCACACCGGATCATTTTGTTTCAATTGGTAGTCACAACAAACTATATATTCGAACTTTATTTGACTCGCATCTTGAAAGGCATTGAAAGGCATGGACACAAACTTCGGTTATATATATATATATATTTTTTTTCTACCATTTAGCTTTAGTGTGAAACGAGAAATTTTATAATACATAAGTAGTAACTAATGACATATACGGTAGTTACTTTATGAATTCACTTTAAGGAGAGAGATAGACACAAAAAGAAGAGAAAAACAAGAGAGAAAATTAAAAAAAAATTGAGCGAACGTGAAAAATCTTTTTATCACTTTTTATGGGTTTGGATGTAATTCAATGTATCTATCGCTCTCCTCAAAGTGGGTTCATGAAGTAACCACTCGTACATGTCATTAGTTACTTTATGTAAAATATTTTCTTTCATGTAAAATGTTTTCTACGGATAAATTATTTTACCTTCACATTATTTTTGGGAATTTAAATTAAAACTTGGCATCCTTGGAAAATTAAACTCCCATTTTCTACATTTCCAAAATAAACTTCCCATTTTCTACCGTTCGACCTTGGTGTGAAATGAAAATTTTTATAATACATAAGGAGTAACTAGTAGTATGTACAATAGTTACTCTATGGATTCACTTTAAGGAGAGAGATAGACACAAAAAGAAGAGAGAAATAAGAGAGAGAAAATTAAAAAATTTTTTTGAGCAAACGTGGAAAATCTTCTTATCACTTTGATGAATCTGGATGTAATTTAATGTATCTATCTCTCTCCTCAAAATGAATCAATAAATTAACTATTATATATATAACTAGTTACTTACATGTGTTATAAATTTTTTCGATGCGAAACCACAAGAAAAAAATTTCTTCAAGAAATGCCATCCTCGCCTAAACACTACTTACCGTCGATTAACAAACTTCCTCTAACCCAATCCAACGCCCCAAAATATCCAGGTCACCAATCCGTGTAAAATCTCGTCAACCAATCACAGTACGCCTTCTGTTTATATAAAGTATCCCCACGCAATTCTTCACAGAACGCAATCTTCGATAAAAATTCTCCCCGCCCCCTAGATTCCTTGCAATCAAACCAACCCTCTTGAAATGGCTCCAAAAGCTGAGAAGAAGCCCGCTGAGAAGAAGCCGGCAGAGGAGAAGAAGACGGTAGCAGAGAAGGCACCGGCAGAGAAGAAGCCAAAGGCAGGGAAGAAGCTCCCCAAGGAAGGGGCGCTGCTGCCGGAGACAAGAGGAAGAAGCGGGTGAAGAAGAGCACGGAAACGTACAAGATTTACATCTTCAAGGTCTTAAAACAGGTTCATCCAGACATCGGGGTTTCCAGCAAGGCTATGGGAATCATGAATTCCTTCATTAATGATATTTTCGAGAAGCTTGCCCAGGAATCCTCCAGGCTTGCCAGGTACAACAAGAAGCCCACTATTACATCGAGGGAGATCCAGACTGCTGTGAGGTTGGTGTTGCCTGGAGAGTTGGCTAAGCATGCTGTTTCTGAGGGTACCAAGGCTGTGACTAAGTTTACTAGCTCTTGAATCGGCGCTGTGGTAAATTAGGTTTTCCTAAAAAATGTTTCTATTTGGTTTTGGTTAGGGTTTAATTTGATAGTTGATGTAGTAGCATTTTAGTGATTTCTGTCTACTTTGTTATTTGGGTTTGTAAATTGTAAGTGAGAAGTTTGGATCTGCTTGATCCAGATAGACGTTTCCATGCCGGAAATGAAATACAGTACCTATTGTTCAATTCTGTTTACTTCTCCTCCGAATCTTGTAATCTTCACTAAGCTGTTTTTTTTTTCTGAATTTTCCAATTCTGCCTGAAAAATGGATGATAATGGAGAGATGAGGATTTTGATTGTATTGCAATCTTAAAAAGAGGTGGTCATTGATCCTATCCCATCAAAGCTGGTGTATGTCTTGTCTTTCCATGTTTATTTCCGTTCTTACTTCACATCTTTGGTTCAACTTCAATGCACAGTAGGTTTCACCATTTTTGAGCTTTTAATGTTTTTGATTGCTTATATATATATATTTAATTTAATTTAATTTTTATTCAAAGCAAATCCATAAATATTTGGTTAAAAATAATTTCTTGCTTCAATAAATTTTTTTAATAAGATGAAGTGAATACTTTGCTTTAATCAAAATCAAAGTATTTAACCTTTTAATTTAGGAATTCTAGCTGGTATTATATTTTCTTTCAAAAAAGATATTTTAAATTATTTTTTACCAACTGTAATTGTAGCTTAACTTATTTTTATTATGAGTTGCTTACAAAAAAAAAAAAAATGAATTATAATTCAAAACATAAAATTGTCATGTGAAAAATACTCGTAATATATCATATAATCTAACAAGAGACTTTTGTCAATTGTGACTTGTGTCCTTCAACATTGAAAGGGTTCATTACAACTAATGACCTACTCGTCGTCTACCGTTCAATTACTGGTCTTGCCTTTTGGAGAAGATCGAATTGTCGTATGAGCACTGGACACGACACCGTATCAAATCAGTGCGTGTACATATGAATCCCAACGACGGACCGCCGTTTCCTTAGCTCCACGCTCGCAACGCACAGAACCAGTTTTTCTGAAGTGTGAAGAAGAAAATGGCAAATAGACTTGGCTTCCAGCTTTTTGTTGGCAGATTATCATCATACTCAACAAATCATGAGTTAAAAAGGTTGTTTTCGCCCTTCGGTGTCGTTACGGAAGGTAAAAGATTTTCCTTTCTTTTTTCAGTAAATTGAAGTCAATTACTCATTCTTCATGTGTTTTTAAAACAAATTTAAGTGTTTGTGTAGCTAGGCTAGTTGTAGACCCAAGAACTCAAAAGCCCAAAGGGTATGGGTTTGTTACGTTCGAGTCAGAGACTGATGCACAAAAGGCATTGAAGACCATGAATGGCAGGGTATTTCTAATTTCTTTCTTCTCAATTTTTTTTTAATTTTTTCGTTATCGTAGTTTATTGGATATCGGATAAAGGAAAATCTTCCATAAAATTTCTCAGGAAGCTAAAAAATCCTTTTTGGAGATATATCATCTGATTGCTGTGTGTCTGTGTTGTGTTGTTTGGGGGGGGGGGGGGCTTGTGTTTGCAAAAAGTATGATTGATACACTTTTTAGAATCGAGGCAAGCATTTATTTGTAAATCTGAAAGTTATATTAAGGCGCTTCAGTTTTGTGAGTAACGGATGGATAGGCTCCCTACTTTACTTTTGTATCGAAGTTGGGTGCAAGAACTTCCACTCTTGTTTTAAGCTTTCTATAAGAGAATGTTGCAGTTGCTACGTTGAAGTAAGTAGTTGCAAATCAATTATTGGAGATTAGGCAACAGAGAAAAGACTATAGATATTGTCAGAAACTTATGGTTTTAGGATGTTAATTTTCCTCCTTTTCCGCCTATTACATACATATATGCATACATACAGAATAGGGTCAATGACCATTATGTTTGGTATACTGGTTAAGTAGTCCAGAAGCTATTGCTGTAGATAATATGGGGGCAAAAGATACATCAGATCATAACAATGGCTTAAATCTTGACCGTTATAATGTTAGGATTTTTTTTTGTATTTTTCCCATTTTCAGGGCAATGGTCAATATGTGGTCTAGCTCTGGCATATTACTTGTAGTTATGTTTGGTATACTGGTTAAGTAGTCCAGAAGCTATTGCTGTAGATAATATGGGGGCAAAAGATACATCAGATCATAACAATGGCTTAAATCTTGACCGTTATAATGTTAGGATTTTTTTTTGTATTTTTCCCATTTTCAGGGCAATGGTCAATATGTGGTCTAGCTCTGGCATATTACTTGTAGTACTTCTTGCTGTTTAGATTCGTTAATAGATTGGTCCAACCTGGGATCTTTCACATGCCACTAGAGAACTAATTTTAAACTGCTACAGAGAGATCTCTTTTAACAATAACAATAATCTGCTTTGGGTTTGCTTACTTTGCTTTAATTATGCACTGCTGAATGGATCAGGAGTTATTTTTATTGGCAGTGTACTTGTCCTTTCAATGCTTGGTGTAATTGGAGGTTCTCAATTCATGCTCATTTCACGCTTGAATAGAAAGTTTATTAAATATTCTTTATTGTGATTGTTATCAGTATCACTAATTTTTTGCCTTTTCATTTATTCTCATTTTGGCATCAATCTAATTCCTGCTTAGTTATTAGGCAATTCTGTTTTCAGATGATAATCAAATTAACTTATTGCACTTCTCCTCTTTCCTGTCTTTATTTTGTTATCTTTTTCGCCAATGTGGTTGTTTCAGCCTCAGATTCTTGCTTGAACTTGTTATTGTTTGATTCCTGAAAGCTGAGATTAGGAGAAGCTTAAGCGTTTTCTGTGTCTTTCTCGGACTTCTTTCAGCTCTTGGATTTAGATCTACTTTATTTTCCTCAGGTTGCGTAAAAAAAAAAATGAATACATCAGCACCAACCATTTTCTGTTAAAACTCGATATATTACTGCTTTTTATGCACGATTAAGTTGAAACATTTGTTGCTCATGTGAAATATGTGCCTTAAAGCATTTAAAACATTTTTTTACCAGAATTTTCTTTCCTACCATTTTGGTAGTTTTTGTTATCTGTTATTCTAGTTTTTTGTTTTGGCATACAGATTGTTGACGGAAGGCTGATCTTTGTTGAAGTTGCAAAAAGTACTGAGCGATGATCCATCTCTCAAAGAGATTGATGAAGGGATTATGTACTGAACTCATTTATTTCCCCAGTTCTGTTGGGCGATTGGGGAACCAAGAGGGCATCTATGACCAAATGTTGCTAAAAGCATATTGTAAGACAATTATGACTCTTTGTAGAAAGGAGCATTTATAAAACGGGAAAGTTGATGCATTTGCTTTTATACTCGGCCTAAGCATTTGATTGTGTTCATGCTTTTGCCCTAACGAGTAACTTGACTTTGTTATTGTAAAAGGAGAAGTTACGTTATAGGTGCTTGGGAGTGAGATTGGTTAGTGTCTTAGTGATCTTCGGTTCAAATTTTATCCGAGTAAATTATAAATCAGTAACTCTCCTTTTGAAAAACGAATTAAGTAGTCTCATTTATTTTAAAAGTTAATCATTTAATTTTTTGCATTTTTAATTCTGTCAATAGCTTAATCTTTTCATTACCAAAAAAAAAAAAAAGTGGATTCCAGTTAAGAGAATCTCAAAAAGTGAGTGCCTTTTGGCGACGGCGTCACACTTCATCCTTATCTGATGTGAGCCAATTCTGCATGTATTAATCATGGAATGTACCGAATGAAGAGAACTATTTACTTCAGTCGGCAGAGGATGAGAACTGTGATAATGCTACCACAGATTATCTGATGAATTACATTGAGAGGACCACTAAGCTAGATTTTAACTTTCACGGCAGATTACAAGATTTAAACTGTTTCTTGACTTGTGAAATGGTTTACTGTCCCACCCTGCGCGTCTTGCATTTCAAGTATTTCCTTAGCTCCAGCTAATATGCCTTCTTTAGTCGATTGTGTGTATCCATTTTACGCTCTTGACTATGGTTTGCCTTTAAGATCATTCTGGTTGTGCGTCATTTTTAACTTTGTTTTCAAACTTGGCTTTCTTCGGTGCCCAAAGAACAGAAATCTCCCAACAAGATGATAGCAAAACTTGCTACACATTTAAACACAATTACAACAGTGCATATTGGCGTCTCTTTTCAGTTTCTGCCGCAAATATGATTACAAGCATCGTTATTGTTGTTGCGGATACATTTGAGGGAAATTCCTCAGATGGTTAAGTGTCATCTTGATGTTTGGGTGTACAATTAGCGGGAGGTTTTGGAATCTCAGGTGTAAGGAAGACCGGTTCTAAGTCTCTGCCTTAGATTTTGGAGCTTTTAGGTTATGGAGTAGCCAGCAATAGAGGCACAAAGGATCTCATGGCTTTACCATTATAATGGAAATCTTGAGAACATATTAAGGTAAAGGTAGAAGATGTCAAAGAAAGAAGACTTAGATTGCAGAGAAATGGAAGACCTTGAAATTATGCGAGGTGAAGAATCGAGGCAGATAACGGATGAGGGATGAGGGTGTTTTATCCAACTCGTGAATCAAGGCAAATCATTAAGGATTCTGCTAATTCTAGTAGTCGCTGCTGGGCATTTCAAGTCAGAATCCATCCATTAATAGTGATAAACTGCAAAATCAGGTTTCTGGCAAATGGAAATGGATAGAAGGTAACAAATACATACTGTTCCAATTTCCCATTCATTCTTTCACTTGCGACTCGTTTAACATGCAATTAACAGGCTTAGGGAGAGGATTGCAATTTTAAGAGTCCTCTTTAGCCTACTTTCTTCAGGCAAACAGGTTTCATACAGAAGAGGGAACCACTACAAGCACTGGTTTTAGCAGCAAGCAGGTTTTAAAGTTTATTACTCTCGCACCCAACAGGACGTTGGTCAGTGATCAAGGTCTTTCAACTCCAGTACTTGGACTTGACGTGTAAGACAGACATGGTACACTAAATCGGTTGAAATAAACGTTAAAGAAAGGGAGATTATAACTACAGCTACTGGGCACTTGAACACAACAGAAACTGAACTCCCGTCTCAACTTGTAACGTGCACAGTTCACTCCTCCACTTCCAGGTGCAAAAACCACGGAACTGCAGAATAGTTTCCAATGGGGTAAAACAATCTGCTTCTCCATATTCCTGAATCCTACCCTATCTGAATAAGAGATTAGACAGGAGGGAGATCCTTTCTCAATAATCAGTATCTAACCTGTGATAGTTAAATGTCGTCAGAAAATCCTAACTTTTGATCCTTCTAGTCCTGGAAGATGATCGAGAACAAGTGTTTATTCATGCAGTAAAGCACTAAGAAGTGTAAGAACACATGATAAGTGGGTTTTCATATAGCAGAAATGTTGCTGGAACAAACCCAGTGTTTTTAAACAAATATCAGCACTGCTCTAAGACTACGAACCAAACATTTTAAATTCGTACTCTCTGTATAATTATGGGTCGGACGCGACACAAGCTCCTTCTCATCACCCCTTATGTGCATAATGCACACGGATATTTCTGTCATCCAGCAACTGGAATGGATATTAGAATAAAACGTTAATGGATGATCACTATCTCAATATCAAATAGTAAAGCAGGATTCATAGCACAAATGAACTAAGGAGTATAATAGTTATTAAGCATGATAATTAATCAAAACATGCCTGACCATCCATTTCTTTCAAAGCTGTGCTGGCTGCAGCTTCAGAAGAGAACTGCACAAAGCCGTATCCTTTGGATTCACCATAAACGCGCTCACATATAATTTTCACTGCTAAAAATAGTCAAGGCTGTAAAATTTCCATAAAAATATGTAAAACCACAAGTTCCTGTCCAATACGTTACCTTCAATTATTTCACCATATTTTCCAAAAGCATCCTTTAAAACAGTTTCATTGGTATCATATGACAGCCCTGCATCCATCAACACAGAATAAATCGATATATATTGGTAGTGTGGGAAAATGCATGCAGAAATGAAGAAGAAGAAAGAAACTTATAGACCTCCAACAAATAATTTGGTGGATGAGTGACGGGTGAATAACCGTCTGGCTAAGGGCAGATTGACACTTCGATTCAGAAACTGCATCACTTGTTATCATACGCCTCCCTGGAAACAGATTGAGATGGGTCTGGTTCTTCTAAGTCAGAAGTTAGAGAAAGAAGTAACTAGACACTGACAACTGGTGGAAATGTCTTGACGCTTTTGCTTGTCCTTTAGTCCAAACTAAAACGAACCCATTTTTGCTTTGCCCACGAGATGTTCGACAAATTGGCTACAACGTTTTTGTTTTCTTAGAAAAAATAAAATAAAAATCTGCAATATATATATATTGAATCTACAGTCACACTCAAAAGTCTAGACTAGTCTTTGAAAAATAATAATAATCATTAAATTTATCAACTAACATTTCATTGATGTATTCTTTTATCTTGATCCAATTTAAATTACGATGATTATTTGATTGGACAAATACATCTATCTAAAGAGATTTATATATACATAAAAATTCAAAACGAAATAACTTATTTAAACAATTAAAATTTTTTCAATTCAAATTAATCTTTTTAAATTTAATTTTTTTCTCTTTTGTCTAGGAGAGAAACATTAATGCTAGTTAAACTATTCATTGCTCTTCCTTCCATCAAATCATTCATGATTATAATCTAAAAAGATTTGTATATACATAAGAATTTAAAACGAAACCACTTGTTTAAACAATTAAAAAATTTTCTGTTCAAATCAATCTTCTTAAATTTCAATTACTTCTTTATTTTCGTTTGTCTAGGAGAGCAACACTAATGCCAATTAAACTATTTATTGCTCTTCCCTTCCATAAAATTATTCATGATTTTAAGTTTAATTTTTTCTAGATTTTTTTAATATTTCCTTTATTTTTCTAAGTTTTTTTAATTTTTTTAATTTTTATAGGATCTTTCTAGGGTTTTCAATTTTTTGAAATTAAAATTTAATTTTTCTTATGGTCGCTTAGGGCATATTTTTGCCCAAAAAATGATTATAGAGTATAAGAAATAACAAATGAATATATAAAAATACACGAGAGTAGAATATTTTTAAAGAACACATAGGAGATTAACACCAATATACAAAAATAGATGAATAAAAAAAAACTTGCTGGTCCACGCCTACCCTTTAATGTATAAACGATAAGGAGGTGTAAATATTTTGCAAAAGTATAATCTAATTAAAATAATCAATATATATATATCATCGTATTGTTGACCTCTTGGTATCAAATACGATTTTAAACGAAGCCCGTAGGCGTTCCCGATAGAGCATTAATCCGAACGGGGAGGGGGTGTTGATTTTGAAAAACTACTGGAAATGGGAGGCGAAAGAATGCTTTTCGCGAGGATAACACGTGTCTAGTTATAATTGGATGTAGGTACTTTGTCCCTGTTGTCACGCATGAGCACAATCATGATGATATTTATTTCTGAATTCTTGCTGAAAAAAGTTAGCAGCAGCACTCCACACAGTTTTCTATTTATCTCTCAAAAATTCTTCATTTGAAGAAGCAAACACCAACTCCGCCTCTACACATATCTCTCTCTATTTTGTGTCCGATATTTATCTAACTCATTCATAGACCTCCGCATCTCCTGTAACCATGGTCAGTCTCTTCTTTTTTACTCTTTACTTTACTTTCTTACATCAAAGTCTCATTTTTTGATCTATGATTTGTATTCAAGTTAGTTTTATAGATCTGATTTGGCCTTTCTTCAATTTGATGCTCAGATCTTCCGACTTAATATCTTCTGATTTGGTGACTTGATAAACATATATATATATTTGTGTGATCCACTAATCTTGATTTGTTAGTTTGATTTGTCTCTGTCCCATTTTGTTTGCTCTGTAGCTGATGATTCTGTGAACTCTACAATTGAGTGGAAAACCATTCACTTGGCAAAAGAAGTTGAAATATGTCTTAGTTAGTTTACAAGATGACGATTCAGAAATGATAACATGTTTTATCTGGGACTTTTTTCTAGATGAAATTGTTGTCTGTACAATTGTCGTCTAAAATGGCTGAATTTAATCCTTTATTTTTTTTAATCTTAATTTATTATCAACAGATAGCTAATATTGTTATAGTTTGCTTTTCTAAATCTGGCTCATTTTCATGTAAAAAAAAAAGAAAAGAAAAGAAAGAAGAAGATACATCTTTTACCCTTTGTCGACACCTCGGTTATGTTTCTGTTTTTAACATAGTGGCTTTGTTTTTTGCTTCGTTTTGTCAAATGTCAACTAGTAGGTTAGGAATTCCCGCAAAATTCTCTTTGCTGCAGCTTCCTTCCACACCACCCCTTCTTCTATTTCTCAATTTCTTTTCAACTAAGCTTCTTGTTGTCGTCGATGTTTTGCCTTGATTACAAACAAAGTTTGATTGTTCGGCTTTCTTAGAAAATCAATACCCGTAGTGATTTGATCCTTCTTGTCAGGTATTACGTTTCACCCTACAGGATATGAGGATAGGGTGTTCAGTTCAGTCAATTATGTGAGTGGAATGAGTGTGAGAAGATGCATGGTCCATTACTAAATCCCTAATTTGTTGATAGGGAGAGGATGTGGGATATGCAATATAGGTCATAGCAGTGAGTTTGAAAACTCACAACCAAAAATCCTGGTCGATGCGGTTCTGTTATCTTTCAATCTTGTAACTTCTTTCTTTCTTTCTGCTCTATTGTTTTGCAACTTTGATGGACTAATGCCATAACTTTTTTGGATATTATGTCTTCCAACATGTGATCCATGGTGCATTAATTAAGATCATAAACGTAGAAGCTGCACAGTTTATGAGGTATAGCCTCCCCTAAGGACCACCATGTTAATAAAGAATGAATCAAACAAATAATAGGAGAGGGTCTCGTTAAAACATGACACAAGTGTTTTCATTGCTTCTCCATCCATGTATCATATATCTTTCTGTGCACAGGCCAATGCAGCATCTGGTATGGCTGTGCATGATGATTGCAAACTGAAGTTTTTGGAGCTGAAGGCTAAAAGAACTTACCGTTTCATAGTTTATAAGATTGAGGAAAAGCAAAAGCAAGTTATTGTGGAGAAGCTTGGCGAGCCAGCCCAAAGCTATGAGGATTTTACTGCAAGCCTCCCTGCTGATGAGTGTCGTTATGCTGTTTATGATTTTGATTTTGTGACTGAAGAGAATGTCCAAAAGAGCAGAATTTTCTTCATTGCATGGTAATGACCCTCCCTCCCAATGCACGCTTGCCGGTTTACTGTTTTGGGGCATTTGCTTCTAACTGTTTCTCATTGTTTTCTTTGTGGTTTACAAGGTCTCCTGATACATCAAGGGTGAGAAGCAAGATGATTTATGCCAGCTCCAAGGACAGGTTCAAGAGAGAATTAGATGGTATTCAGGTAGAGTTGCAGGCAACTGATCCAACCGAAATGGATCTCGATGTCATTAAAAGCCGTGCTAGTTAAATACAAGTCTCCCAATTTCGCAGTGGAGAGTTCTATGCACTCTACATAAGCGGAATGTTTATAGCTTGTGGCGGTGAACCTGACTGAATTATGATCTTTGTTTGTTTGTTTGAGTTTTATCCTACAGTCCTCTTCTGGAAATCTATCATGTAATGAACGTATGGCATGTGTGTTTCTTTATAGTTATGCTTACAATCTGTGGTGTATCACCATCCGATGGTAGATAAAACCAGGATTTGTTTTCTACAAGTCTGAAAATGGATGTTTTGACTCTTTCTCATATTTGCATCAGAAGTCCTGCTGTTCTCTAATCCTACTCCTGGCATTCATCATTTAAGCGTGGGAGTGCTATAAAAAGCGATTTAATGGTGCACCAGAGCTTCCTGTGGTTCGGTTTAAACTAAATTTCTTTACTTATCAAACTTTTAAGAGGTCTTAGATTCCAATTGTGACAGGCTTACAATGTTAATGATATTCATACAATCTGCACTTACCTGCTACTTCTCGCTTAGATTTTACAAAATTAGGCCTAAATGAGAGCTTCCAAAATCCAAACTCAATAATCAAATTCGGCCTAAAATATTATTATAGCTATCTAGCCTAATCATAACTTGCAGATCATCTGAATATCGATCAGGACTGATCCAAATTTGAATTCGGGTGCATACATCTATGCACTCCCCCTTCCATGTATAAGTTCTTCTGCAATTTTTTGTTTTCTCATTATGGAAGTCAAAGTTTTATAAATCCCAAAATTTCTTTTATGTTATTTAGTAGTTTATTTATTTATTTATTTTACAATCGTTGGATTATTCTTAACGTTTATTTTTGCAGTAAACGAGAATTATCAGAAATTAATATCCAATGTAAAAAGTAATACTAATTGGAAATTAATTTATTAAGTGCGGTATAGAAAAGTTCGCAAGAAGAAGAGAGGGAAAAAAAAAAGAAGTAAGATCGAAGAAAATATGGTGGCCCAGCCCAACCTAAACCGTCGCTCTCTTCTGAAAACCCCTTCTGTGACCAGGAAAGCAACGTAGCTGAAGGGGTATAAGTTGGCATTTTAAAAAGGATAACAAGTGGCTAATTATAACTGGACATGCGTACTTTATCCCTGTTGTGGCGCTGGAGCACCATCATGATATTTATTTATTTAACATCAGAGGACTATCAACAGAGCCACCAGAAATATACCAAATTTATTAATTGATTATAACCTAGTACGTGCAGTTTATTAAAACTAATTGATTAATCCTTATATTTTTAGAAATTGCATATTTAATCTTTATATTTTTCAATCTGTTAAAAACTTAGTCCTTCAGTTTATACCATTTTTTTTAAAAAAAAAATTATATTGGGCTTTTCCCTCTCTTGGAAAATAGAATAAGAGAAAGGAAAGTAGAAAAGAAGAGAACTTATGATTAAAAAAAAAAAATGGTTTTCTGAAAAAAAAAGAAGAAGCATTAAACTAAGAATAAGAATGATTTGATTCTGATACAATAAATATTAATTAATTAATTTTATATAAGGACTAAGTTATAATAACTCCCAAAGTTGTTAATAAAACTAATTAAACTTTTGAGCATATAAAATGAGTTCCAAGTTCCAACTCTACAAATAAACAACCGAGAGACTAAGGTATTAAGATGTACAAAATATCGGTATTAGTTGATTAATTTTGAAAATATAGGAGCTAGATTATTTATGTCTTAAAAGTACAACTACTAAAAAATATAACTCTGAATTCCATTTAATTGAGAAAATAAAAAAAAATAAAGAAACTAGCAAGAGAGAGGGGGCACACATAGAGGAGTAGTCCTCCATTATCTCTCAAAAAGTAAACGTCTGCGTTGAATCGAAGAAAGCAAAACCCAAAAGCTCTCCGTCTCTGTCTCTATAAATTTTGTATTTCCCTTCACCTGCCTTGTCTTGTTATTTTAGCCTCGATCGATCGACCGATCCCTATAAGAAGCACAATCATGGTGAGTATTTTTCAGCTCTTTACTTGTTTTGATCTTTATCATTCTTTGTTTTTAACTGACGACTGATGACAGGAGACGTTTTAGATCTGAGATTTGATCTCTGATTTGATGGAAGAAGCAGATTAAGACATCTTCATCTTTTATCCTTGTGCTTCTACTACTACTTAGTGAAAAATGCTAGATCTCATACTGCTAGTTAGTCAATACTGTTAATTTTAATCAATCATCTCTCTTATGCTATCGCTCTTTGAATTTATAGACAGTTCTGTTTTTTTTTTTCCTGATCCAATCATCTTGATTCGTTTATTATTATTGGTTAGTGTTATAATCTTTGAACATCCGGCCTGCCTTTTTTTTTTTTTTTTTTTTTGCTGTGAGATGTCAGGATTGTGGTTCGGTTCATTACTAATGGACTGAAACTCCAAAATTTAAAATCTTCTTAAATGTGGTTGTTTATAATGCTGGGCAGTTCAAGTTCCTGCAAAGTTTTGGAGATTTGATGGACCAATGTCGTAACTTTGAATATTCTGTGTTCTGATATGTGATCTATGGTACATTGATTAATTAATTCTATAAATTTAGAAGCTGCACTGCTTATGTGATATATCGCTTATTGTGTTAATAAAGAAAGAATTAAAGAGATAATAATTGAGGGTCTCTGCTGTTTAGGAACCTTCAGGAATCACTTGCGTGAGTGGTTTTCATTCTTTGCTTCTCCGTCTCACCATGTGTTATCTCTCTCTGGGTACAGGCTAATGCGGCATCTGGTATGGCTGTGCATGATGACTGCAAGCTGAAGTTTTTGGAGCTGAAGGCTAAAAGAACTTACCGCTTCATAGTTTATAAGATTGAGGAAAAGCAAAAGCAGGTTATTGTGGAAAAGCTTGGCGAGCCTGCCCAAAGCTATGAAGATTTTACTGCAAGCCTCCCTGCTGATGAGTGTCGCTATGCTATTTATGATTTTGATTTTGTGACTGAAGAGAATGTCCAAAAGAGCAGAATTTTCTTCATTGCATGGTAATGATGCCAAAAGGTTGTCTATATGTGCGCGCGCACACACACACACACACCCACTCACATGCACGCTTATTATTTTGGGGCTTTGGCTCATCATTTTCTTTGTGGTTTACAAAGGTCTCCCGACACATCAAGGGTACGAAGCAAGATGATTTATGCTAGTTCCAAGGACAGGTTCAAGAGAGAACTAGATGGTATTCAGATAGAGTTGCAGGCAACTGATCCAACTGAAATGGGTCTTGATGTCATTAGGAGCCGTGCCAGCTAAATACGAGTCTCCCAATTTCGCAATGGAGAGTTTGATGCACTCTACGTTTGAGTGAAATGTTTATAGCTTGTGGCAATGAACCTGACTGAATTATGAGATTGGTTTGTTTGTATGAGTTTTACCCTGCAGTCCTCTTCTAGAACCGATCCAGTGATTTTGGTTCTATTTTTATGATCTGTCATGTAATGAACTTATGGGATGTGTGTGTACTTATAGCTATGTGTACAATCTATGCTGTATCATCATATGATGGTAGAGAAGCCAGGATTTGTTTCTACAACTCTTCAAATGGATGTTTTACTCTTTCTCAGATTTGTTTTTCCAACTCTGTTCTACTTCCAGTCCTGGCAATTGTCATTGAAGTTGTTGGTGGGGATGGTTCATCTTATACATGGACGTACTAACCAGAAGCTAGTCTGCTTTTGTTCGATGATAATTTCTTTTCCAAGGTACTTGCAACTGATTGTTTCTATGGCAATGGAAACTAGGTGGGAAAATGTTTGTTGATATTCCCTGTGAAACTATTGACAAGAATTAATTGTTGGAGCCCTACTTCGTTTTCCTTGGTGGTCACATTATCTGAAAGGAATTTGGCGATGCTGATGTAGAATGCATATTATGCACGTGCAACCTGATAAAGTTGAGTCTTGATAACTTTTTGGCATTGCTGTTGTTATTTGCACTGAAATCACAGGTTCCCTGATCCTAAATGCACGGGAGAAATATGACAGGAAAGGGATGAGATTATAAGAATGGTGTGGTTATTCTATTTTTTTTAGTGCCCTCCGACCGATTTTTTTTTTTTTCTTCCGAACGAAGAGGAACATTATAAGAAAAGATGCGGACTCTCTTTAGAAATTTTTTCTGCAGCCTTCATAGTGTATCCTGTCAAGCGCATTGGTCTCTCATAATCTTCCCCTTACTGTCCTTGCAATTTGGATTTTGGACGGTTGGAATTCGTACTTCCCTTATTGTTTGCCTTCATTATATTTGTTTCTTTTATCCTCCTGAATCAAACAAGAGAAGTTTGGGTTCTCCATCTTGCCAATGAAATGAAATTACGGTTCCTCCCTCTTCTGTTCTTTCCCCACCCATATTTTTCTTACCCTTTCTATCTTCTCTACTTGTAAGTGAGCTTATCCCTTGGTTTCTTACACCAAGAACAAATGAAAAATTACACACAGGAAACTAATTTAATTGATCAATTTTCCGGACCAGTTGTATGATTCAATGTCATGAGAAACTGTCGTTTAAAAATGAAAATTACGCTTCTGAAAATCTTTTTAAGCAGAGAATGTTGCTAACCCATTTCTCAGCTCTGAATATCTTTCTCTGCAACATGATTTATGTGAAAATTTTTCAAAAGAAAAAAACAATTCAAAGTGGCACTTGAATTGATCGCAAAACATAGAAATGATTGGAACTAAATTATTGCAAGAATCTAAAAGCTTCTACAAAGAATCGTTGCAAGTTACAACAGGCCTGAGTGGTAGGCTGCCAAAATCTATTAGCCGATTCTAATGAATGAAATGGCAAAGCTTCTTTCAGCTTCATGCCGGTTACCCTATAATACAAACTATTCCCCCCATTTGTACTTCAGAGTTAAGTGTACAAGAAAAAATGTCTGCAACTATTTAGCAAATGTAATAATTAGAGCCCAAGCTTCAGGATCAATGTTCCCGCTTAAGGGATCACGGTTCTAGCCAAGATCATCAGGACTGATTGTGAAGACCATCTCATTAGCATAGGAACTCCATCAGATTAAAACATGGTGTGCCCTAATTTTCAGGCATAACTAAGTATCAGTAGAAATAGAAAACCTTCTTGAAGCTCCACGAGTGAGAGCATTGTGTGTAGCCTGATTTGGCTTCACGCCCCTTCTTATCATGTCATCTCGCAATTCACAAGCCTTTCCTAGTTCTCCCGCAATGCAGCAACCATATATCAAAAAATTGTAGGCTAGTGTATCAGGCTTCAGACCCTTATTTAGCATAGTGTCCCACAATTCAATAGCTCCATCTAAATTACCACTTCTGCAGCACTGATATATAATTGTTGAATAAGTAATGCAATCGGGAAAAATAGCATTGTCTATCATTTCGTCCAGGAGCTTGGTTGCCTCCTCAACCTTGCCCAATTTGCAAAAGCCACGGACAAGTATATTATAGGAAACAGTGTTCGCTAAAAACCCTTTAAGCATTCCATTATGCAGCTGGACAGCTTTCTCCATACTCCCTTCCCTGGCAAGGTGGTCAAGGAAACAACCATACGTAACGTGATTTGGAGTTGAATTGCTAACCAGCATTTCCTTCCAAAGAAGCTCAGCCTCGTCCATGAGTCCTGCTTTGCATAATCCATTTATGAGGGCACTGTATGTCACAGTATTTGGAGTACATCCTTCATCAATCATTATGTCCCAAATTCCAAATGCCTCCTTAAAACTCCCAGCTTTGCTGTATCCATCAATCATGCTTGTATATATTACATTATCAGGCCTCAAACTCTGATTATGCATATTCTTCAAAAGACCAAATAATATACGTGTATCTTGTTCTTTGGTACTTCCATCTATGAGTACAGCATAGCACACAAGATCCATGTCTACTCCTCTCTCCACCATCTCACGACAAACAACCAATGCATCTCTCAATCTCCCTTCTTTGCAATAACCATGTAGAAGAGTGCCGTAACACATCTCATTTAACTTCAATTGCTCTTTGTGAAGGTCATCAACAAACTTTTTAGCCTCACATACTCTACCAGTAGAACAAAGACTGCTTATTAGAGGCCTATAAGTATATGTATCTGGAGAAAGACCCTTTTGTACCATTTGATTGAGCAATTCAAAGGCTTTTATAGTGTTTCCTTCCCTACAATGGCCTTCTATGATAACATTATAAGTCACCTCATTTGGCATAACCTTCTGCTCTAACATTTCATCAAACAATCTGATTGCATCAGTCATCCTATTTGCTCGACAAAGACCAGATATTAGAGAGGTAAACATGTATGTGTTCGGTGCAATGCCCTTCCCTGTCATCTCGTGATACAGTCTGAATGCCTCGTGCAACTTGCTGTTGTTGCAGTATCCACTTATCAATGATGTGTAGGTTACCACAGTAGGTGTCAGTCCTTTATCAATCATCTCATCGAAAAAGGACACTGCTGCACCCAAATTCCCCAACTTGCAGTGACCATTTATCAAGGAATTGTAGGGATAGACTGTCACTTTTAGCCCCGCCTCCATCATCATATGAAGAAAATGAACCGCAATATCCAGTTTTCGCCTTCTACAAAACGAATCGATCAAAATAGAATAAGTGACATCATTTGCACATAAGCCCTTCTCTCCCATTTCCTTGAAGAGCAACTCTGCCTCATCAAATTTACCATCTTTACACAAAGAATTAATCAATGCATTATAGACAAACAAACAAGGCATTACCCCAACTTTCCCCACCCTGTTAACTAAATCAAAAGCATCCACAACCTTCCCCTTCCTCCTCAACCCTTCAACAAGACTTGAAAAAGCTGCTTCACTTGGAACGAATTCCAACTCAATCATTTCATTCATTACCCCCACGCCAACCTCAAACTCTTGCACTTTGCATAATCCAAGTACTAATGTACGATAAGTAACCTCGCTAGCTGTCAAACCCTTTTGAATTAGACCATTCTTGATCTCAAGCGCCTCCCAAACTCTCTGGTTCTTGCAAAGCCCATGAATTAACACATTATACACCACTACATTCAAATCACACTCGCTGGATTCCATTTGCTGAACCATTTCATTGGCCTTAACAAAATTCTTCAACTCGCAGAAACTTCGAATTACTGCCACATAAATATAAATGTCAGGCCTAACACCCATACTTACAATCTCATCAAACAACACTAAAACCATATCGAATCGCCTAATCCTGACAAACCCATTTAAAACTTCACCCAAAGTCCTAACTTGAGGCATCAAATCACACTGCCTCATCAACCGGAATATCAAAACACTATCAAACATTCTCTTCTCCTGCACATAAATTTGAATCAATAAATCGAAACCCGAACTAGAAATGAACTCAAATTTCTTGAAACAGTCCAAAAGAGCCTCAAAAACCTCTCTTGGATCCAACCCACTACGAAGAAGCAACGTTTGCAAGAGCGAAGAAGCAGGCCAAAATAAATTAGCATTAACAAGGGCATGAATTAGAATACAGAAGGACATGGTTGAGTGGTTAAATTTTTTGTGCAAACCCAAGAAGTTAAAAAACCTCAAAGCTAACCTGGAATCATCAAGAGTAAGCAACAAGACCTTCTCAACATGTTGAGGCTTTAACTTAGTTGAAATAAATGGATCGTTAAAAGCGATTTTCCAGCTTTTATTTCCTCGTACGATGTTTTTGAGTGTCGCTATGAATTGTGAGTCTTTGTCGTCGTTATCTTGAAGTGTAGAGCTGCAATAAAAGCGTTTGGGTTTTGTCTGGAAGATGGTGACGATGGGGTTTGAGACAAATCTATGAGGGCGATGTCGATTAAGTTTCATTCTTCTTAAGGAATTGATTAAAATGACAAGACAGAGGAAGCTTTCTTCCACTTTCCAAACAAAAAAAAGGAGTTCAGCTCAGTGAGTCCCAGTACTAGTGGAAACGCAGAAGAGAACAAGCACACTGGCGTAGAAGGGCGTGAAAGAGTGTAAAGAAATAAGTTGGGTTTAACGAAGCCCAGCTTACATCCATAACATCACCCTGAACCCAAACCAATGTCCAGCCCACATTATCTACCTCTCTTCAATTATCATTAGGTTGGGTTGACACACAAACTAAGGAATATATTTTTACTGTCAAAATAATTATTTTTTTTAATAGTTCACCATAAATACATTAATTTATAATTTTTTTCATCGAATCCATAATTATTTTTATTTAAGTACATTGAATTTTCAAAATTCTCAATCAAATATTTTCATTAATTTTTCTCTTAATTGATGACATGATATATTCATCACCTTCAAAATATCAAATTACAATTTTAATCTCTTTTTTTTTTTTTTTGTCATTCAAGTATATGAATTTTAATTTTTTTCATTTGAGTATATTGATTTTTTCTAAACTACTAATTAAATATTTTTATTAATTTCTTATTTAAATGATGACGTGTATCTATCTTTAGAATAGAATATCAAATTCCTTTGAGCAACAACTAGTTTTAGGACCCGCAGCTTGGAGAATGTGGATTACATCATTTAATGTAAAGCGAATTCTTTGATCAATAGAAAATTTTAGTTAGACACTGGAGCTTCCGAGACAGTTTTGCCAAGCATGGCATAGCGAAAGTAAGAAATATTGAGAGTTTGATGGTTTCTTACTCAATCTACTTGAAACGCAGGGTCTGCAAATTATTGATGATCACTAGAATTTGCTCGAATTTATTTTGTCCATTGAGAAAGCAACATTGGTTTTTTGAAACAGTATACTCTAACTGTTTTGTGAAGTTCAGAATAACTTAAAATTGAGTTTTTCACTGAGTCATTAATTTTCTAGGTGCATGTATTTAATACATTAATGGTGCAGTTATTCTTTAGCATTATCTTTATATTACTATAAAAACATCTGGTAACAGTTGTAATTTAAGTTTAAATTGTATGTATAGTAAGAGTTGTAATTGTAATTGAGTATTATATTTAGACTACTATAAATATATATCCGATAAATGTTGTAATTTAAGTCTAAATTTTATGTAATCTAAATTCAAGTCAAGAGACTTCCTCTCTTAAGAAAATAACACATTATCAATGATATGAATTTCCACTATATTTTCTCTTTACTCTTAGTTTTTTAAATATATATGAACTTTCATCTAATGGTTTTTTAAAAAAATATATGGTATCAGAAGTCAGAACTTGTTCAATCTAATGGGTTATTCAAGGGATTAGAGCTTGTGTGTGGAAAAAAAAAGGAGAAACTCTAAAAACAAATGGGCAATAAACCTAAATGTCAGTGGATGAACAAGTGACTAAAAAAATTCGGACTTTGCATCAAGAGAGAGATAGAAGAAGTCCTAGAAGGGCTGAGCGCAAGTTAACAGGTTCTTACAAAAGCGATGGTGTGGTACAAAAGAGACCGCACATGAAGAAGAGAAGAGAAGAAAGAGCTTTTTTTAAAAAAGGAAAATGTTCAAAGAGTCACGATGGAAAGAAGGCAGCAATCTGGTGAAGGGTGAGCCAAAAAAAAAAAAAAAATTGACCAAAAAAATATCACAGCAGCCACAAAACGAGAAAAATGGCTAGAAGTAGCCATGTTTATGCAACAGTTACCAAAAAAAAAATAATAATAATAAATTGAAGAGATGGCAATGAGATGCCATTAGCTAAGCCAAGATGATAGAGAATGACTAAAACAAAGATCCAAGAACAAGAAATTTTACAACTTTTCCAACGTATTTCCAAATTTCAACAGTTGCGAGATCTTTAAAACTAAGTGAGAGTATTGGAATTAATTTTGAAATTTAGAATAATGTAAAAATAAGTTTTTTAAAAAGTAGTTTTAATTTTATAGGTGTATGTATGTTGTGTATTTATAGTGTAGTTAGCTTTGAGTCTCTAAAATTATCTTCAGAGTGTTATAAATATATGTCAAAGAGTTGTAATCTAAGTCCAAAACATAACATATGTACAGTAAGAGTCGTAATGTAAGTCCAAGTCAGAGACTTTCTCTTTAAGAAAAAATACCAAAATATCAATGATGTGAGTTTACATCCTTATTTTTTATTTTCCTCCCCTAATTTTGTTTTTAATAGATGATTAGAGCATTAATCGTGATTTGATAGGATGTAAAATATATTTATTTTTATTTTTTGCGTGAAAAACGATCAATTGGAAGTATGATATCATCAGATGTGAATGCAAGTGCATGTGAGCAAATCGGCCGGCATACAACATCAATTGTAATAAATTGATCTAGGAGGGAGAGGGTAGCTCAATTTGAAATGTCGTCAATCAATTACACGTCCAAACAGATGAAAGGCTCTGGAAAAAGAAGAAACAAAAGGCCCAGTTGTAGCATGATTGCTTTACTTTAACTGTGCTTTTGCAGTTTGTTGGGTGCTCATTTCTGCCCTTGTATACACAATGTGACACAATTAAAGGAAATACGATCCTTGTTTTTCATTCCAACCGAGAGAGTAATTGAATCAGCAAGTTGCAGAGTTGGATAAAAAATCTAAAAACCTTTGAGAGAAAGCGTTTAATCAGAACGAACACAAATGTTTCAATATTATCAATGAGATGTGATCCACCTTTTTAGAAAGGGATGCAAAGGACTTCTGCTTCTTTGTGGCAGATGCCAAAGGCTAGAAACCAATCATCTTCTTCCATCTCTGATTGCGCTTCTTGCCAGTTTCTCATGGCAAAGGTTTTCTCTCTTAGTGAACATTCTAGTTACAATGAAAATCCTTTTTTTTTTTTTTTTTTTTGAAGAACAATAGGAACGAGCTATGGTTCTTCATGTCTATCAATGCATGTAGCATAATAATAAAAAAATTACAAATTTTTTAATCATTTGAAAAATAGTTCTTGTACATCTTTTTGAAGAATGAAATAATCTTTTGATTTTTTAGTATGAGAACCATCAAATTTTAATTTTGAATTTTCATGATTATATATAATGCAAGTACGAATCTGATCTGATTTTAGGATTATCATTGGTTTTACTCTAGACATGCATCGGGTAATTTTTTTTATTTTTTATTTTTTTGTCTTTGTGGTGTCTGTTACTCTGTTTGCTCTTTTTTTTTTCCCTTAAATTTGTCCCTCTGTGTTTAGATTTGTCTTAAGTTTATTTTTTAATTTTATAAAATTATAAATACCATTCAAGAAATTAAAAAATTAACTAAAACTCTTTTGATATTTAAAAAAATATATATTGTAAATATTAAATTTTATAAGCAAAATTTGCTTATTATTATAAAAATAAATTTACATCCATAAAAAATATGTTAGATAAAAAAAAAATTATCTTCACCTTTATTTCATTTATTTTAACTATAAAAAGAGTAGAAGGATGATGAATCTTGTGTAAGGATAGTAATGAATCGGATCGAGGTGTGTTATATATGCACCCACAACTGACCCAATACATTTGTATTTATCACCTACATCTGGTCAGTTCGGATCCAGTGAACGATACTCTCCACCTGTTTGGTACCCTATCCGATCCAACTTTTTCACATTTAAAAAAAAAATCTCTTTTTAATTTTGTGTAGTGCCTCACAATATCACATACTTAAAATTTTGTGTAAAAAATTCTCACATAATCAATAGTCTTATTTTTGAAAGTCGCATTCAAAATATTAATACTACTTGTGATTTAAAAATATAGAATTATGTCATTAAAAATCACTAATGATATGTATTAATTAGTGAATTGTTAATGATTAGTGTTATTATATATGAAAATCATTTCAGAAATCTTTTATGTTTAAACATTATATACATAGTCTTGTGTGCTTATTATTTCAATTTTTTTTCACAATAAAAAGAGTAAAAAGATGAGATTAAAAAAAAATTAACATGTGTCTTAATCTTATAAGATAAACGGCATGATTTAATATTGTTAGCCCAAAAAGTTAATAAATTGACGAACTTAAGACAAAAACCAAACCTAAAAATATAAATTTAAGGAAAAAAACAGACACGATCAAGACAAAAGCAGAACTAAAGAGACCTTGCAGTCATTAACCCGACATTTATAGTTATATTAAAAATGTTATAAAAAAACTATTTTCAATACATACGACTTCAACATTTATACAGATCAAGTTCATGCATCAGTAAGAAATCTACCAAAAAATACTTGTACAAATAGCAGATCTATTAGAAGTTTGAGCAATGTTTATATATGCAAGAAAGCAAATCTCTTACTAATGTCTAAGTCCAAGATAAAGCATGTTGTTCGTGCCATAATGTTTAGAATATTATTAGTCAGTTTCTTGGGCTACCCTACAAATTCGATAGAACAAAATCATTTTAAATTTTCATAATTTAATTTTTTATTTAATTATTTTTTTCTAATGGTTTTCACAATTTTTTTGGTAAAAAAAACATAAATCATTCTTTTTTATGGATTGATTTTAAAATAAAAAATTATAATAGTTTTAACTAAAATATTAATCAAGAATTAAAAAAAACTTTAAAAATATATTTTTCATGAACTTGTATTAAAACAATAAAGTTATAATTAATGGATATACTTTTCTAAAAATTAATAAATAATTTTTTTTATTTAATGCCGATGAGAAGATTAATATTTGAAATCATCCGCACAATGCTATTGGTAGATAAAACAAAATTATTTTAAAATTATATAATTTTTTCATTCATTTTTTATTTAATTATTATTTTTTAATATATTTTTCATAAAATTTCTGCTCAAAAAAACATGATTTATTCTTCTTTATTCGGGGACTCTTAAATAAAAACTTGTAATAATTTAAACCTAAAATATTAATCAAGAATCAAAAAATAAATACTTTAAAAATATATTTTTA